CATATGTTATATTTGATTATGCTAATGGATTAAAAGATTGTAAATTCTTATTGCTAGTCCCGGTACCATCTTACAGACTTTTTTTTTTTTTTAAAGTGATACATTGTATTTTCCTAGCAATTCACTTGAACCATAAAAGTTTATAGTAATTGTTAAAGTAAATAGTAAGTTATGCAGTTTTATTTTGGATCAAAATGACTTATCCATACATATGTAAAATGTGCATTTTATGTGATTTTCTCCATATATGTGAAGTGTTTATTTTCACCTGTTTTTATCAGCATCAGAATAAAAAGGTTATTTTGAGTTTTTTAGGTATACTATACCTGACAAGTATTTCACTTTTGCTATTAGGAAGACAGCTTGCAGCAGACCTGGTACAGTTCTCACTATAACTTCCAAGGCTGAGGTACAACGTCTGAGAAGTGGAGTAACAGGTTGCCCAGGACTCGCAGGCTAAACAAAACGAATTATATCATTTTATCCATTTAAAAATAATATTTAGCTAAAAATAAACACATTAATTTTAGTATGACTAGTAGAACTGTATATATTTTTTCTAAAATTTCTCTTATTGTATTTATTACATAAATGACTGGACTAATACTAATTTATCTCCTTGGGATCTATGAACAGACTATGACAATAATGGCTTTTGTTCAGCAAAATCATTATGAAACCATTATACAATTACTGATTTGGTAACATATGAAAGGAGCATATCTATTCAAAAACTTTATTAAAGAAATGTATCTATTCAAAGGAAAGATAGCTGAGAGGTGGAGATACTTGCTAGAATTGATACAGTCAAGGCAGGGAGTGTCCAAATTCTTGATCTGCCTTGTGATTTACTCAATTGTATTACTTTCACTGCCCCCTAGAGTATTGTCAGTTTTTAAAGAATTCAGATTTTTTTTTCCTACTAGAAATCAGAAGGTAGAACACTCAGGTACACTGTATTAAATGTCTCATATTTTCACATTCCCCATTTTTCTGCCTGGCATGTTGTAGGCCATCAAAGTTTTCCTTTTTATTAAGAGTATGATAAAGCAATACCAGAACATTGCTTTACTCTTTTCAATTTTTATTACTCTTATCATGGCTGTTTGTCCAATCAACATTTATCCATTAGTCGCCCAATTACAGGTTAGTAATGTGATATTAGAATTTAAATATCAAATGTTCTTTCACCTTGCTTTGCCTTACTAATGCTGTTTCTTTTATATGAAGAAAGGTCCTTTCTATCCCCCCATCCTCCACCTGACACATATGGATTCTTAACTGGACTGTATCCTCTTATGGAAAATCACTCATATAAAGAGCCATTATTACTGACAAGAAAGTGATACATCTCACCTATGTTGAGACACAAAAAATGTGTGCTCAGAAAGATATTCAGAATATGACTACTGTTGCCTAAAATACTTAAACTTCTTTAAATTTCTCACATGTAATCTACATAATAAAATTCAGCATTGCATAATATACAGTTCTATTAGTAGTTTCAGATCTAGTTTTGCTTCTTTTATGGGACTAAGGGTCTTTACATGTTTGAAGATCAGAATTTTATACTTCTTTGCATAGTACTAGAGTAAATTCTTTTAAAATGTGTTTTTTTTTAGCATAAGTAAAAATAGTCAAAGTATAAGTGATGTTAAAGTTCTGATAATGTTCTTTGCCACCTGCTAAAAATTAGTTATTGAGAACAACCAATATTTTTACCGCAGTTTCAGTGT